CCGGCCCGAGCCGAGCAAGGGAGCAGATGTCTGCCCTAAAACCGACTCGGGTTTTGCACCAAAAAAAAATTTAAAAAAAAAAAAGTTCTTCTTTCAAGCCTCGAACTGAAGACGCGCTTTTGCGACTCGAAAACGGGCTCCCGAAAGCCGCGCCTGAAGTCGAAGCGTAACTCGGAGCCGGTTTTCTCATAGGAAACAGTGTTATAAAGGGGGGGGAGCTGGTTCCTGAACCAAGCCCCATACCCTATTTGCACCCAAAGGGAGCCAACGGCCTGTACTTGATCCATTCCAGACAAGCGCGCCGTGTTTGGCTGGAAACAGCGTGTGAACGCTGTAACTCGGAGCCCATCTTCCCACAGGAACCAGTGTTATAGAGGGGGGAACTGGTTCCTGAACCGAGCCCCATACCCTATTTGCACCAAAAGTAACCCTGAAGTTTGTACTCAACCCATTACAGATAAGTAATATAGCTACATTCATGTATTTGTTCAGGGGGTGCAAAGTGAGAGTATGTGATTGGGATTTGGATTCAGCCTGATTTGGAGGACAGTGATTCAATTTGCTGATTCGGATCACTGTCCTCCGATTTGATTTGGCCGAATCCAAAGCTGAAGATTCGATGCCGATTCAGAGAATCGGTGATTCAGCTATAGACACAGTTTTAGATGTTTTTTCTATATACCTCGAGGTACCAGCGTGGCTTGTGAACGCTGCGATGCTGGGGCAGATGGAGCACCCCACAGGAGCAGGGGGGGCCTCCAAGATGGACCCAGAAGTGGACTGGAAGTGCTTCTGGGCCACTTGCGGGTCCACCGCCAAGTGCACTGATGAGCCTGCCCTGAACTCCCGTGGGATGCTCCATCCACCCCACCATCTCAGCATTTACGAGCCGCTGGGTACCTTGTGGTATGTAGAAAAAACTTATAAAGCTGTGTCTGTGGCCAAATCATCAATCTGTCCAAATCGATTCGGAGGCTTCCAATTCAATTTGGAGAGATTAATGGGTCTCCTGATTCATATCAGATTTAGCTGCCGAATTGAGCCAAATCTCCTCCAAATTGAATCAGCGACCAAAGCTGCATACAGCCCTCATATTTATATTGTGAATAGCAATCATTTTGATTTGGAAGGACTTCGTTGAGGTGACTTTGCTGGATTTTCGAAGGGTTCCTGGCTGGAGGCTTCTCAGGAGTCTTGTCTGCTTTCTTAAAGAAAGCGTCCAAGGAAGTTCTCCAGGGAGATGGGCGACGCAGCGAACTTGTTCGCTGGCATGGCGTCGGATCAAGTGTTGTAAAGTCAAAACCAATATCAGAAAGTTGAAACACGATGTCAGTTTATAAACGCTGTAAGTGTGAAACGTTGCAAGTCGAGGACTGCCTGTATATGAAATAGGACTACTATAACCCTGAAAAGGCTAGTACACATGCAAGTTTTAATGAAACCATAATTGCAAGCTTTTGGGCACAAACGCCCTTCTCCAGGCATCAGAAAAAAGACTGTAAAAGTCTTCCTGGATAGAAATGAAAGTCCGTATTTCACAGGAGAGATGAAGGTGTGGTTAAATCTCCTGTTTGAAACAGTTTGTTTTAGATGCAGATTAGGCTCAGAGAAGAGTTGGAGTAGTTTAGTTACCTCAAAGTGTTTTGGTGATAAGCAGGATGTAATCATGTTCCCTTAAAACAACCTGGATATCTGACCCCAAGGCAGAAAGCGACTGGGGAAGGGTTGTTTGCTGGAAAGTAGGAGCCTCTCTTCCTCACAGGGGACCCAAACCACTGCCCCCTGCACCATGATTCTTGCCCCCGGCAGCATCTGCACTTGCTTCCCAAGATAAAGGGCAAGGGCTGCAGGGAGGAGTGCTGGGGCTGGGAAGCTCTGCCCTGCACTGTCTAGGTTCGTGGCAGCAGCAGAATTGCTTTGTTACTTTTCCAGGGTCAAAAGAAAAAGGGGGAAACTGGCATTTCCTGTCTGCTTCCATGAGTTGAAGAAAAAAAAAAAGTTGAGAATCACTATCCTGCATTTTTGCCTTGCGGCAATAACAGATTGTGACGGGCAAAACAAGTGCTCTGCTCCCAGCTTAAGATCTCACGGAGGCCTGAGGACACCAGACAAGGACAGGTCAAAGGCAGACTTTAAGGAAAGGGAGCTAGCTGGCTGCCAACCAGCTGCAGTGGCGCCTCAAGCCTCAATCAAGTAACAGCCCGGTTCGAGGGAAAGCTTCTTGTGCTCCAAGCACAGAAGGGAAAATTGGAGGAAGGAAAAGGAGAGAAATCCTAGCCGACAGCGTACATTCTCCTGCGGAAAGACCTGCAGCTTCTGCAGCTGGGTTTATGGCTCAAGGATTGGACTCAAGTCACCTTAAGACCCATCACTGAGCTGTGGTAGAGATCATCCTCAAATCAGGAGGATTACCCATGAACAAACTTTGGGAAAATGGGGAGCAAGTTTCCACCCAAGAAAAAGCAGGCTTCTCACAGTACTTGCCAGCATCACACCAAACACTAGGCTTTTGCAAGTGCATTTTGTAAGGAGGCAAAAAAAGCCCCACCCCTCAGCTGAAAAGCTCAGCATAGATGTAGGTCTAGACATCCTACTTCTCTCTCTTTTACATGGGGATTTTTACCTGCCTAAATAAAACACAAGTGTTGCAATCAGGGTTGTTGGCAGGTTTTTGATACTGGCAGTAAGGTAATAACAAGAATTACAGGAGACCCTCGCCATTTGCGGGGGGATATGTTCTAGAGATCCCTGCTAATGGAGACATCCATGAATACTGTACTGCATTCATGAATGGCTGTGCCCCCAGCAGCTGGGGTGGGCACGGCTGCACTGGCAGCAGCAGCAGCCCAGCAGTGGCAAGTGCAGAGCTCCCGAAGATGGGGCCAGCGTTGTAACAAAGTGTCACTGCGCTGCACCGCAAATACCTGAAACCACGGATGCCAAATCTGCAAATAGCGAGGGTTTCCTGTACAAGTTACCCTTAATCGCACGAGCTTGCCGAGGTAGGTGTGATACTAATTTTTGACTTAGGACAGCATGACATCCTATTTAAACCTAGCAGTGTGATGGACATAGTAAATGGATTTTACCTGATCTCTCAAGAAAATGAATAGGCAATCACCACCAAGTGGGGTACTGTAGGGCACTTTACTTGTCAGGATCCGTACTGAGCCAATACAATTCAACATTTTAATAAATGACCTGAAAGTAAATACAACATTTGCTGATAACACAAAGATTGGTAGAATGGCAAGCACTCAAGAGGATGGGGCAGTCAGTAAGCTCGTTCATTCAAATGTAAGTGCAGGTAACATTAAGGAACAAAGAATGAAGGTCATGCCTACAGAAGAGAGATCCTGGTCAGGATAGTCTGCTATTCTATAGGTATGGCCTGCACTCTTTAGGAGTCAGACTAAAGAAACAATTGAAGGTGAACTCTCAAGCCCTTTGCTGTGACAAAAAAGGCCAATATGATTCTTGGATGAGTAAGCAGGAAGATAGGGAGATAATTTCTCACTCTGTTACAGCATTGATGGGAACAATAGAATAGTGTGCATCTGTTAGATAGCCACATTGCAGGAGGTGCAGAAAAAAGTCACAGAAATAATTTGAGGTGGAGAAAATGCCTTCAAGTGAAAGACAGCTCAATTCATTTAGCATCTCCAAAAAGATAGAAGAAGAGGTGTTTTTTTCATACCGTATAGATGCTTTGGGGGAGGAAAGGGGGAAGAACATGTTCTGAAGGTCTCCAAACTAGCAAAGGGGCTTACCAAGAAAATGGCCAAAAGATATGCATGGAATTAGAAATAAGACACAAATTTCTAACAATGGAGTGATTAATCATCCAATCAAGATTGGATGCAATCCTGGAAGATACACTTCAGTCAAATTAAGTTATTGAGCTTAATACATGGATAATGGTAAAATGTAAGGGCATGTAATTACCAAATGAGCCAACAATCCCTTTAAGCCATATGATCTAAGAATTTGTACAATAAAATATGGAGCATGGTTTCTCCCAAAAAATTTGGTTCAAATCTGGATAGTTTCCATAACAGCTTAGTCCCCATAGACAGAGGGACAGCCAGAAACTTTAAAAAAAGATTGACATAACACAAAAAGATCAACTTAGCTTGGAAGAGAGATGTAGTGCATTTTCAGTTATTTAATATGTTACAACCACGGATCCCTACATATTTCATGAACCTTTGGAAGCACAATATCACTGCTATTCAGTTAATGTGAAATAAATTATCTCTATCAGGTAGTCCACAGCACAGATACAGTGAAGAGAAACTGGGGCCAAGGATTCCAGGTCAAGTCTCTAATGAAAAGCTATTTTGCCATGGAGAAAATTACCTGAGAAGGAATATTTTTTGCTGTTGGAATCTGAACCTCTGGTTCCAGGGAACATAAACGTTACGAACGCATGATCAGCAGGCCCCTTTTAAAGGCTCAAACTGGAGTAGGAGCAGGTCCACAACAAATCTTGTAGAGTCCAGCGAAACCTGAAAGATAATCATTTAATCATAGAAAAGTAGGGCGTCCGGAGGTTGTCTAGCTCAGCCCTTTGCCCAAGGCAGAACCACCACTGTCCCA